TCTGTCTGTCTGTCTGTCTGTCTTCTTGTCAGTCCTCTCTTGGTCTGCATCTAATTGGATTTTGGCAGGCGTGCTACTTGTTGACTGTGCTGCTCTGGCTATCTCATCCGCCTACCTCAACCTCTCTTGTTGGCTTGACGTCAGTCATCCATCTGTCTTCTTTGCTTGGGTTCATGTCCTTACAAATCCTGACTTATGATCCTCTGTCTGGTACTTATTCTGTTGTTCTTCAATCATCATCTTATTTTTCATAACAAAGGCTCTTCATTTAGTGCCAACATGTGTCTGTAAACTGTCATTTGCCCCAGGCCCCCAATCAGTGGACAGTTTCAAAATAAGCAGCCAAATGACCCGGTAAGTTGATCGTTATGTAAGCCAAAAGACCACTGGTGTGGGACTGAAAGGCGGATGTGAGGAAAGCCACTGGCTATTGATTGGTTTTCTGACCTTGATGGATGTGGCAAGTTGCCTGGTGACACAGACACTGAACACAGACAGATGAATTTAGGCAGCGAGGGAAGAGGAACTGGAAGAGTGAAATGAGACTTTTGGTGGCTGTAGCTTTTGTTTCGTAAGTTCCTGTCTGTGTTAAGACATGTGTAACAGTCTCCTAACTTAATGTTACCTCAGCTTTTATTGCTGCTTCTTTATATTTTCTACCCCAGACAGGCAGCCAGACAGAAGTAGCAAAAGACAGACACAGGAATGGTATGTTTGGTCAGAAAATTTCCAACGCCTGCAGGAGGCACTTGTGAAAATGAAACTGGGTGGAGAAGAGAAAGGTGTGTCTGGTTTTATTTTTAGTCACAAACTGTTCTACACCTAGACTGTCTTCCATGAAACTAACTGTGCAAGGCAGGTTGTGTCGAAGGGGCTCAGCCTCCAGTTCACCGTTCCCTCGGTTGAAAATTAACCCACGGAAGACCTGAACTGAACCACAAATCTAGCGTGGATCAGCCCTCCTCGTCAACCAATCGCATGCCAAGTAGCTCACATTTCTTCAGCACTCTGCTTTTCCCACACCCAACACTAATAAACCTACATATGTAATTCCACTGTCTGCATTCACCAAAGAAAACAGTCCATTTTACTCAACACATTTTTGAATGCAAGGCCAGATCAACCCACACATCTTTGGTCCAGAACACTATCTGTGTGTCTTGGAGCAACATGCTTTGCCTTTGCCAGTGTTTGTTGCCTGTTGTAAAAGAGCTGACTGAGGCCCCACACTGTAGAAGGGGCTGAGTGGAGGGGCCTTTGGTATATCACCATTAGGTCAGTGCCAGAACAAAAGCTCCATAAATGCATTATAGCATATACTGGAAGTGCCAAAGTGTTTGCTTGCCTCATAAAAATTTGGAGCAATTATTAATGTAAACTGTCTCACTAATGTAACGTTAGCATTCCTTGAGAAAAAAAAACACACCTTATTGAACCCTTCTAAGATGAGGGAAAAAGCAAAGGAATTTAAAATAAATAAATTACAGCATATGATTTTTGTAAGGCTACACAGAGACAGATTTATGTTTACATGACAGTATACTTGACTGGAGATTCAAATACTCCTTGTCTAACAAGCTTCTCCTCAGGTTCTTATAGTTTTTATATCTATAGTTTAAAGGTGATGTAGAAGACAGCCTGTGTGTGTTGGAGGGAGCAAGTCTGCATTCAAAACACTCTGCTGTGCCACCTTCCCAATGGGAATGAGGATACAAATGGAGTGATCCAGAGACCTGCTTTCCATAGGATCGTCATATACTGCACATAGTGTATATACATACACGCACAGTGACTGCAGATAAATCCTCACCCTTATATATTCCCTCACAGCCCAGTCTCCCAGACAAAAAGACAAGATATCAAAGCCATGTCATTAGCCCCACTGGGCTGCCACCAAGCACATCCACATTACATTGAGCGAAGCCATTACACTGATCAATTATGCATGTAACAAACATGATGGAATCGGGAACAATGATAGTGTATGATTAAAGAAATTCTTATTACTACACGCTGACATTCTAGTTTTCACTTGTTTATTAATGGCTTATTTTTCCATGTAGTTCTGTATCTGCCTGTGATGTTTGTTGAAGTATCCACTTTACATAAGGTTCCATATGCTTTACACTGGCAACCAGGTGAAATGCTACCATGACACCTTCTACCAGTGCCAGTCCTTTTTAATAATTTAACTATACATTTGACTGTAAATAAAGAATAGAATGGTGTGTATGTGAACTCTAATTGTGGCTTAATTAGCCACGGACATTCCGTATTCTCTGACTACATTCTTTTGTGTCACTGCATTTCCGTACTTCTCTGTTGCTCATATTCAAACAGTTAGTGTGAAGCCTAATTATGCTTGACTGGATTCTAAACAGTGAAACTTTGCCTTGTGGGTTACGGTCTGGGTACGTTTTATCCAATTCCGGTGACAAGTACACTCTGTTATGCAAGACATTTTCTTTGTCATCACGAAGAGAATATAATGTCTAAGTCGCATCCTGATTCTAGATAAGTTCAAATGTACTGGAATTCACAACAACAATGACTCATGTCAGTGTAACAAAGTCACTTCAGCAATTTGATGGCAAAGCTCTATTTTTTTTAATAAGTTTCTAATTAAAAACATTTGTGTTTAGATTTTGTGCGACAATAAGTAGTAAAAAGCCTCAGCTGACAGTCGACAATCGCCAAAACCTTAACATCTGTCATGTTACTTCAAGCAGATGACCCAAGTACAGATAAGAGCATGAGATACTGTGTGGATGACCGTGAGTTGTTCAACAAATAATGTCAGTCAAAGGGTCAGACAGAACCACAGTTACACACAGACCAACATTCACCACTTCCTCTATTTTCCCCACCAGCCCTTTCCTGCAGAGTGAGTCACAGTGCTACATCATCACTGTGGTCTGGTCTCTACTCATCAGTGTCACGGCGGAGCCAGGACAAAGATTAATCACTTTTCAGTTTCTTACTCAGTCTGTTTGATCTACGCCCAGGTGTGTTCACTTAGAGCTCTGACTCAACTGTAGTGACATTTACCAAATGTAGCAGCATTTTACATTGGCCAGTGTTAAGATTACCCTCAGACAGTGTGTGTGTTAATGAAGAAAA